TGGATGTACAAGAACTACAACTACGTATATTAGTTAAAAAACATCAAAAATGATAAACTTAAACATTCATCAACCCCGTGAAACATAATAGCTGGAACATGATTTGAATATCATTATATTTGAAGACATGGATGTACAGTAATGCATTACAAAATAAAGCCAACTGTCATGAATTAAAATAAATGCCTCTAATACAATATGGCCAGAATTTACAAAAAAAAATATTAACATAATAAGGCCTCCAAATACATAATGGCCAGAATTTTCAAAAAAAGTAAGTCACATAATAATAAACCCTTCTCAGTTGGCTCATGCGCTACTCGCAGGTCATATACAACAGCAGGTCATTTTCTTGAGGCAGGCCTTGGTGACCTAAAACCAGGTGTGCTCATGAAGGCCAATAATCTACTTCGTGTGCCACTGGTTGCTGCATTCATTGTTTCATTACTCAACAACTCATTTGCCTGTTGTGGATTTGATGGAGGTGGGCTGCTTCCTCTCAAGTTGCCTTCATGTGGCTGAGAACTACCAACTGCTGCAGTCCAGTCAACTGCCATGCATTGCAATTATCAACAATCATTTATCTGGCTTCTTCTCTGTATTTAAATATCAACAAGCATGCAATTATCTTTTATAGAAAAATAAATAGTATATTTGTAATGCTACACTACTGAAGATATTGTTCGTAAATCGCATAACGCTATGTCTTATACAGACTAAGAGAATTAAAGCAGTTCATAGTATTCTAGGGATCGTAAAAGCTGTTTGCAAGAGCCAAGAATCCCTTTTAACAAAGTGGGAAACTTAATTAGCATTGAAAAAGATATGAATAATCGTTAATAAGGTCGAAACTTCAGTTAGAAACACAAACTTCATTGAAATAAAATGCAAAGAAGGAATATTTTACTTTGTGATGAAATTTAGTTTAATTATTGCACTCCTGTTTTTGATGTAATGCACTTCTGTCTTGCAAAATTGGACTGCATAGAAAAACAATGAAGTCGTGTGCCTATTTTTCTCTGGTTAGGGACTAATAAGGGCCCCGTGCTTTTTGTCAGGGACTAAAATCGTCCTCGTGCATTTTGACAGGGACCAAAATGGCCCTCGTGATTTTGACAGGGACCAAAACGTCATCATCTCGTCTTTCACGGTGTCCCACATCTAAGCCGTGTCAGCAAACTAACGTGCCAATTGTGCACCGTTAGTTGGGTCATTAGGTGAAGAGTTAACAGAAGGATGAACATGACTTCTTTTTTGTTATTTTAGGGACCAATTTGTCCCTTTTTTATTGCTAGGGACTAAAAAGAGTATTTACTTATATATATATATATATTATATAAATAAGAAATGAACATACAATTTAATGCAAATTACCTAAGTCCCTTATTATTAGACCAAATATAGTGGCTTCATGATAGTTAATATTAACATCAACATTAAGAACTTCTTATCCTAAGTTAATTAAAGTCGGTAAAAATAAATTTAAATAAAAAGTACGAAAAGACTCGTTATGTCTAAAAAAGGATATTGTTTATAAGTCAGACCTTAGACACAAATCCCACCAAGCCATTCCATAATTTTTAATTTGATTAGGGGCTGGTGGCATTGCAGCAAAAATCTCGGGAGAATGCTAACCTTGCACATTGAATTCTTTAATTAAATAATCAATTCAATCCAAAAATTTAAGTTATCAGGTGAAATTATATTAATATTAATAATTTTATATATTTCAACATGTCTCTTCACACGAAAGTCTACCGAACTTGTAAGGCGAACAATGTACAGACCCACCTATTCCATCAGAAAGAAAATGAAAATGATAAGGATTGAACCTGTTACACCGATGCTCTGATATCATGTAAAAAACTAATTTAAAGTTTGATACTATGTAAAAATCCAATTCAACTCAAAAATTTAAGCCGTTAGATGATATTATATTAATAATTTTATATATCTGAGCACTTTTTCATATATATATATATATATATTTGAAAATTGGAATGTAGTAGAACCGTGACTTTGGAATTTACTCGTGTCTTTACTCTTATACACTGAACCGTTAACGGAAACGTGTCTTATATATACGAGAAGCACGAGGTTGCGACATCTCTAAGAACATTAGTACACACTAATATATAATATTATGCTTTTCTAGCTTGTTATCGTAGGTAGCATCGTGTTTTTTGTCATTAGTTAGAGGGTACAACCATCAAATTATTACTGTTTATCTAAAATATTATTAGAATGTCATGTTTTAAAATTTTTTTATCAAAATGTCACGTCATTAGTCTTGCTATGCCACGTGGTGAGTTAGGAGTTGCCACGTGGCAACACTTGGTTGGCCACGTAACTAGCTGCACAACGCAGCTAGATTACGTGGGAGACAACCCCTTCCACCATGTGCCACATGGCCTAAAATGCTGGGCTACGTGACGTCTTACGTGGCCGGCGGTGTGACATGTGTTGCACTGTGATAAATTAACTGGGCTGAGCAGCTGGTTACGTACATGTGTGACACATATCATTTAAATGAAATTAAATAATATTAATTTAACATTCCTAAATTTAATTACTTAACATTTACAAACAATTTAACTTAACATATTGCTAACTAAAATAAAATAATTAACAATCCAAAAAATAAGTAATTAATAGTTATAACATAAATAATTAATAATTATGACAAATTTAAATTAATATAGATTAAATTAAACTATCTCAATTAACAAACATAAAATATATTACATTAATTAACAACCCTTGATTAAATTAAGTAATGTAACAGTTCGTTAGTTTTTAACATAACACACACTACATTAAATTATTTTAGTTAAAACCTCTAAAAAAACTAATTAATTATTCTAAAATAATTAAAAATAATATATACTGAATTAAACTAAAATAATTATAATTAAAATAACGATTAATTGAAATATTTTTATGTTTGTTACTTAACGATTAAAATAAAAATAATGATTAATAAAAATTGAAATAACAATTAAAATTAAAATTAAAACTAATGAACTGTTACGTTACTTAATTTAATCAATTTTTTTAATTAATTTAATATATTTTATGTTTGTTAATTGAAATGGTTTAATTTAATCTATATTAATTTAAATTGATCATAATGATTAATTATTTATGTTATAACTATTAATTACTTATTTTTTGGATGGTTAATATTTTAGTTTAATTAGCAATATGTTAAGTTAAATTATTTGTAAATGTTAAGTAATTAAATTTAGGAGTGTTAAATTAATATTATTTAATTTTATTTAAATAACACGTGTCACACATGCACGTAACCTGCTGCTCAGCCCAGCTAGTTTACTACAGTACGACACGTGTCATACCACAACGTAAATAGCTACGCAATCCAGCGATTTTGGCCACATAAGACGTGTGCCACGTAATCTAGCTGTGCTGCGAAGCTAGTTACATGGCCAACCAGATATTACCACATGGTCAACCATAACTCGCCAAGTGATTAGTAAAAAATTTCTAGAACGTGGCATTCTAGTAATATTTTAAGTAAAGAATGATAATTTGATCAATTGTCACTTGTTACAGAGACAGAAACAGCATGAATCGTACTTACTTTGGTGAAGCTGAAAAACTGCAAAGCATATCAGAGAAAAGAATTGAAAGTGGTTTACAAGTAAAAAACAAACAAACAAACCCCAGTAACAGCCACCGAGATAGCGAGCTAGTACATGCTTACAATAAAGTTTTTTTTACACTCACGTTGTGCTAGAATGCTTATATAAGTGGCGAAAAGTCGAAAACGGTGGCTGCTATAGCGAATGGGGTTCCGTTCTGTTATCTACTGTTATGCCTTTGCCAATAAATTATATGCATAAATAAAAGTATCTCGAAAGGGTTACATGCAGAAAGTGACAGATACCATAATAATGATGAGAGATAAAAACCAAAGAGAGAGAGAGAAAGGGTAAAAAGATAAGAAACAAAAAAAAAGGGTAACCTTTTTACTAATTTGTCTGGTAGCGCGTGGTGCGAATGTTGGAAGCATGGAAGCAAGGCAAAGGCCGAGAATGGCGGCAACCCATAACTCAATCATAAATCCAACATCAACCTCAACTTTCTCTCTCCATTACCACAACACCTGGCAATAGAGAGAGAAAGAGAAAGACACTGTGTGAGTGTGTGTATTATTATCACTGTTAGATAGATAGACATCCAAAGCCTTTAAACAGAAGGATCTTCCTTACCTGAAAAGTTGGGAATAGCTAAGAGTTTGGTGGTTGATTCTTATTCTTTTTTCTCTTTTTATTTTTATTTTTATGGGAAAGTGGTTTCCTATTTTGGGAAAAGTGTGTTTAATTAATTAGTGCTTGAGTTATGGGTGAATTTGGCGTTTCAGACAAGGAAGCTATAAAAAAAAGCAGCAGCAGCAGCAACAGTTGTAGTAGTGTTCTTGGGTTGGGTGTGAAGAATGTTCAAGGACTCGAAGCATTACCTAATAAGACGATGATGATGATGGTGCATCATAATCATCACCACCGTCCATTCTCACCCTTTGATAACGATTCCTTTGCTGGTGGTGATGGTGATGGTCCCACTACTTACATGTCTTTTACTAATCATATAAACCTTGTTAGTGGCACTTCTGATCTTGGTGCTGCTATTGCTATTGACGGTACTGGTGGTGCTTCTTCTGCTGCATCTGTAAGACCTTTGCAGCCTTTTGACATTTCTGCTTATAACTCTGCTACCACCACTCGCCCCCCAACCTTCAAATCCACAGGTTTGTGTTGTAATTTCGTTCCAGTCAATGCTGGGTTAAGCTTATAATTTGTGGTTTCTTATTTATATGTCAGAAAGATTGCATCTTTTTTAATAGAGAAAATAAAAGTAAAAGAAAGTTAAGGCGGGTCAGAAGAGAGAGAGAGAGAGAGAGAATGGGAGTTAAGGACTTTTCTGTCGGAGACTCTGAACATACTTGGTATCTTGGTTGTGTTTACAGCAGGTGAAATGGGGTTTCCTTTCACAAGTGCACAATGGAAGGAGCTTGAAAGACAAGCTATGATATACAAGTACATGATGGCTTCTGTTCCTGTTCCTCCTGATCTACTAATCCCCACTTCTCGCTCTCCTTGTATGAACCTTTCTCTTTGTTGCTTTTTCATCATCGTTCATCTCTAGTGGCTATTATTATTACTAGTTACCTCACTTTCACTCTTCATTCCTTTTAAAAAAGCTTTTGTCTTTGCCTCCCTTCTCTCAAATAGATTATTATACCTTCTGTTATTCAGAATCTTTTGCCTTTTTCATGATGTGTTGCTTTCTTACAGTGTTTATTGAAATTAATTTGCATAACTTTTGAGCAGTGGATGGTGGTTTCAATCTGAGGCTGTCAAGCAGCACTGATCCAGAGCCAGGTAGGTGCAGGAGAACAGATGGTAAAAAATGGAGATGTTCAAGAGATGTGGCGCCAAACCATAAGTATTGTGAGCGCCATATGCACAGAGGCCGTCCCCGTTCAAGAAAGCCTGTGGAAGTTCACACCGACGGCAACAATCACCAACAGATCAAGAGGGCTCGCCATGATTGTAATCCTTTTCCTTCTGCTGATGTTACTGTGCCTATTTCTAACCCCACTACCAGAAAAGATGGATCTTCATCCCATTTTCTTGCCTCTACTACCGCTCAGCCATACCTTGAATCTTCCCTTTCTCCTCATAACTTTGGTGTCAAAGCTGCAAATTTTGACTCCATGGCTTCTGTTTCCTCAAATAAGGAACCCAGGTGAGTTCAAGTTTAGATTTACTATGGCTTTCTTTCGGTTTGGGTTCTGATTTTTCTTTCTTCCCTGCCATGTTTTGCCATCTGTTTGGTTAGTCAATAACATAAAGAAAAACTAGATAATAAAACTTAAAATATTCCTGTATGAAACTTACGCTCTTAGATGAACTATTGAGCTTTGTTCTTAAGGTCACTTTAGTTGAAGTTTTTTGTCATGCAACATTTTTTCTGGGTCTATGTTCCTATATTCTTCGTTAGAGTAGCAAAGGAAATGCTTTGTTTGATGTTGTAACTTTGTAATAGACTTGCTATTCTGTTACTGATTTGGTGAATTGAACTTGAAGGGGCTTGGACTGGATGCTGAATGGAGATCCTATTTCCCTGGGTGCTTCTGACTCAGAATGGCACTCTCTGATGCATAACAAAGTAGGAATGTCCACTGAGAGTTCTTGCAACAACACCGAGTCTCAGTATCTGAACTCATTTGCACTATATAGTTCTGGACTGGATCAACAAAACAGATGCCTTCCTCTGTTCCTTAATCCTCTTGTTCCCATGGAAAATCTCCACTCCGAGAAACCAAGGGGTTTCATTGATGCTTGGTCCAACACAGAAACTGGGGAAAGCAATACCAACGCCAACAACAAGAACTCAATTGGTAAACTATCCCTTTCTTCTCTTGATCTATCAATGGGGGGTGGTGCTATGCATGAGGACATGAGTACTATTGAAATGGGTCTGGGACAAATGGAGCCTGATGGAAACACACACAATGATACCAAAATCTCTCTCTCAAATTGGCTCAACCCAGCACATTGGGTAGCTTCAACACCTGGTGGTCCACTAGCTGAAGTTCTAAGGCCTAGCACGGTCACTACTACTACTACCACCAATGAGGCACCTTCCAATTCATCGTCGCCAGTCATAACACCTGTTGAATCAAGTAGCTCTCTAAGAACAATGGTATCATCTCCATCTGGTGTTTTGCATAAAACCTTTGCTTCATTGTCTGATAGTAGTAGCAATAGCAGCCCAAGGGTTGCATCATCAAGGGCCAATTCTGAGGTTGCCTTGCTCAGGTTCAATCACATGTAAATTAATTAGCATCTTCAACTTTAGTTTCATTTGATTGAGATAGTGTTCTGTAATCTTATTTGGCTTGCATATTTAGCTGACTATGCTGTGCATTCGGGATAGCTATATAGGCCATATAGCCTCTTGTTTAGGGTGGTTTGTTATAGACGAAAAAAAAAAAACTCTGCTGAACAACGTGTGTTTCTGTTTATGTGAAGAAGACTCAATGCATCTTTAAATTCCAACTTCATGGAAACGTCACGATGTTACTTATCTCTACCACCTTGTGTACTTGATGAATGCCATGGTGGTTGTTTGTTTGTGTGGTCCTGGCCCAAGTTGTCGGAAAAGTCATAGATCTAACTTTGACTATGTCAACCACGTACCTCTTTAGTATCTTCTCTCACCCAACAATATCAAGTTTTAACGTATTCACTCATTTTATTTTGGTCTCTCGTGTGTACTCATCGCCCTAATAAAAGTATGTTTCACAATTATTTCTAGCTGTTATGTCACTTGATTTTTTTTGCAAAATTTTTAGGCAATAAATGTTATATGGGTCATAATTGAAGTATAGAATTTTTTTTAATAGAAATGTTTAGTTAAAGAAGCGTTTGTCTCAAATTATGAATTAATTGCTGTGGCACCTCATTTTTTTTTTTTAATTTTCATTTCTGTTTCACTGGAAATAGCACCAGCAAACGAAATGCTTGGATTGATAAACGGTGCAAAATAAAGTGCAACAGTTATCTTGTGAGAATAGTTTCTGGACAGTCTGATGCAATTAACATGAATCGTAATTTGGTGAAAGCCTAATCGATTTAAGTTACAATATAAAATAAGCCTAATCGCTTTTTTTCTTCTTCTTAAGCTCATTAAAATTTAAACATGTACCATTATAAAAAATTTTAAACATAAATTTATAAATTACTACGACAGAAATTAACCACAAGGAGTGGTATTAGATATGATATATTAGAATTTACAAGTATTTTAACAGGAACCATTTTGTTGGATTGCTGAAAGCTCCTTTCATTTATCAGTTTACAGGATCTAACAAGTTAGAATGCAAGAGAAGAAAATATATATATATATATATATATATATATATACTTACAATTACAATGGTGATTCAATGGAGGATCTATTGTGGAGGTGAGTCTGAGGGAAGCTCATAGGAGCTCTCAAGGACAGTGGGAAAGAAAAAGAAGATGGAAAAAGAGACACAGAATATTATGGGATTTGAACTTATTTATATATCCTATAACTTATTTACTACATATGGTTCTTAAAATAGAAAGTGGGCATGAGAATGACTTTAGAAGCCCAGCAAAGAATGCCTAATTGCTTGTAATTTTGTTGAGACCTCTCTCATAGTGCAACGATCTTTGGGCTGATGAGCAGTACAAGACAAGCCAACTCTTATCACAGCAGCTATGCACTCCTCAGCTTTGCGCGTCCAATTTGTGTTACCATTATTACAGCTGTTGCTCCCAGTGACACCGTTATGATAATCACTGCTTGAGCTTTGTGTAGAATTTTCATAATCATTAATAAGCCTCGGATCAGTAACCTTCAGCACTTGATTCTCATCCATGTCCGAGACAAATTTGTTCAGGCTTAATCCTTCTTTGAACATTTCATCAGTTGGTTTTTTGGCTATGAATATCTCTAGCAGTAAAATCCCAAAACTGTAGACATCGCCACAAGTTGAAGCCTTGCCTCCTAGACCATATTCTGAAACATATCACCCCAATATTAGATAGCCATATATGCACATACATATGTACTTTTATTTCAGTTATGCATGAATAGCAAGTAAATTTATATAACAAATAAAAAACCCGATTAGTCTTGATTAGGAAGGAAATTCTGTACCTGGAGCAATATAACCAATTGATCCCTTCATTCCCATAGTGCTGCTTTGTTGCTCTGATGGATTTTGAGAAAGGAACCTCGCCAATCCAAAATCTCCAACATGTGCAACCATATTTTCATCTAGTAGGACATTGGCAGGTTTCAGATCACAATGTACTACTGGTGGGTCACAATCATGGTGCAAGTAGTCCATGGCAGAAGCAACATCAATGGCAATGTTTAATCTTTGCAACAAGGTTAGAGAGGATCCTGACTCAACATCTTCTGGGTATAAACTCATGTCCAAATTGCCGTTGGGCATGAATTGCATAACAAGGGCCTTGAAGTCGTGTCCATTATAATCTACACTGGAGCAGGAAGTGATAACCTTGACTAGGTTCCGATGCCTAACATTTTTTAAAGCTTCACATTCTGCATTAAAACTCTGAGAAGCTTTGCTTTGTTGAAGGTCCAGGACTTTGATAGCAAGGGTGGTGGTTTCACCAGTGTTGAGGGAGAACACACCCTTATAAACAGAGCCAAAGCCTCCTTTTCCAATCAAGTTTTCAGCTGCAAAATCGTTTGTAGCAATCCGAATATCACAATACGATATATAATGAGGCAACCCCCTCGGAGGAGCACATGACAAACTGGTTTTCCTCTCCTTTCTTTTCTTCTTCCGTGACATTATTATCCACAGTAGACACAGCATTGAAATGAACAAAGCAATAGCACCTGTAACTGCAAGTATGATTGGAAGTAAAACATTTCTCTTCTTTTTACCTGCAACACAGAGTAACACTCCCAACGTTTGCACAAATTCCTTGTTAAGGCCACAGAGTTTGTTGTTACCTCGGAGATCAACCTGGCTAAGGTTCATAAAAACACCTTTCATAGGAACCTCTCCTTCCAAATGGTTGAAAGACAAATTTAATCTCACCATATAACTGAGCTTTTCTAAACTTTGAGGAATAGGGCCAGTGAGATTGTTTGATGATAGATCCAAAGTCTCAAGGGATGTTAAGTTCCCTAGACTACTTGGGATTGAGCCGCTGAATTTGTTTCTTGCCATCACAAGTGAAATCAAGCTAGAACAGCCATCTATTTCCTTAGGAATGTACCCTGAGAACTGGTTGTTGGAAATATCCATGGTCTCAAGCTGCTTCATGGAGTTGATCTCCGGAGGAAGTGAACCATGCAGAGAGTTTCCTGTTAAGGACAAGCCTCTTAAGCCAGAAAGCTGAAAAATCTCCATTGGTATGGTCCCAACAAGCCTATTCATCCCGAGGTAAAGAAAACTCAATCTTTTGCATTGTCCAATACTCGAGTGTATTCTACCTGAGAACTGGTTTTTGTGCATTCCAAGACTAAACAGATTTGTAAAATTGCCAAAAATGTCTGGAATTTCCCCAGACAATCTATTTCCGTATATCACAAGCTGCCCCAGCTTATTTAGAGCTCCAATATCTGATGGTAACTCTCCACTGAAATAATTATTTTCAAAAGACAAGGAAATGAGATTTTGAAATTTCTTCATTCCCTGAGGAATTCTGCCAGTAAGCCAATTATTAGAAACACAGAAATGTTGAAGATTGCTAGACAGATTCGCAACAGAACTTGGAAGCTCCCCAGCCAAATGATTATCATTGATCATGAGAATTTGCAACTGAGTGGAGTTTCTAAGGGAATCAAAGAACTCAACATTCAATGACGTCGTGGAAGAGAGAGAATTATTACCAAGAGTTAGTTGGGTCAGATTTTTCAAGTTGTTGAACAGAGGCATGGGCCCATGAAAATTATTGTACCGAAGATCAATGTTTTCAAGATGTGAGGCATTGGATATGGAATTAGGAATCACCCCTTCAAACCTATTGACAGCCAGGGTAAGAGTCCTTAGATTTGGAAGGGCATGCCCCAAATTTTGTGGTAACTTGCCTGATAGATTGTTCTTTGTCACGGATAAGAAGACTAAAGATGAGAGTTTGAAGATAGAAGTGGGAAACTCGCCAGTGAAATTGTTCTCTGAGAGTTGAAGTTTGGAAAGATTGTGGAGATTACCCAGTTCACTTGGAACCTCACCCTCTAACATGTTCCTTGCCAAGGCAAGATACTCAAGAGACAAGAGATTGCCAAATTCTGGAGGGACTTTACCTGTGAGATTATTGACAGACAAGTCTAAACTTTTAAGACGGTGAAGATGGCCCAATTGTTGTGGAAGTGTACCACTGAGATTGTTGTAAGCAAAGTTAATCACATTAAGAAATGAGAGATGCTCAAACTCTTGGGGAATTTGACCATGAAATTTGTTGTTGGAAAGGTCAAGGGAATGTAGGTAAGTGAGATTGGAAAGCTGAGAGGGTAGTTTACCAGAGAGGCCACGTCCTGGTAGGGTGACAGATTGGACTCTTGTTCCAACTTTGGAGCAGGTGATACCATTCCATGTACAGTGATTGGAATCTGCATACCACCTAGATAGAGCATTATTTGGGTCTGTTACTTGGAATTTGAAAGAAAGAAGGGCATCTCTATCTGTCTCATTGTTGCATGTGATGCCATGAAAATGATGTAATAGAAAACATAGGAACAATGTAAGTCGAAGGTGCATCATCATGCGTACAAGTAGGCTGTGTTTGGTTACACGTTTTTGTGCTAAACAAATGAACATGCATATATTTATGGGAAAAGTGTCTATCATTTTAAATTACACAACTTACATCCTTTCACTCTCACAAAGAGGTGGGACCCACACCTTTATTTTTTTTTGTCAACTCTCTCTCCTCCTTTATCTATCTCTTTCTCTCTCTTAAAATGACACAACTTTACATCCTTTAAAATTATACACACTTTTCCCTATATTTATAACTGAAATCCGCGTTCAGATTTTTGCTTGGAAATAGAAATTTTTTACACTTTTTGAGTTGAATGTTTTGGGTCAGCGGTAGTTGGGAGCGGAAAAGTGGTAACGTGATAAAAACTTCATACAAGTATAACAGGGACGTAATGGGCGAGAAAATTATAACAAATGTATTTAACATTGTGTTACTTATCATTTTTTCAATGTATTAGTGAGAATTGACCTAATACAAATTAACAATACTAACAAAGCCCCTCAGTACTAGAGTGCAAACTGTATATAATGTGTATTATAATTTATGGGCAATTTGTTATAAGTAGCAGTAACACTGATTCTTCTCTCTAATGGATTATAAAGATTTTCATTATGGGCAATGATAATGTACTTTCGTAACATTTTTTACACATATTACCAAGAACATTCATTAATTGAGTTTAATAAGTGATATTGAATTTAAGTTCTGGATATGTAAACTCTTTCAAATTTCAATTGATAAAAATTAGCTTTGTCGCTATTTATAGTTTGCTTGATTTGAATCAGATTAGTCACATAATTGATAAATCAGTGGAGAAATTATTTTTTTAAATTAATTTTTTATAATATTTATAAAAATAAATAAGAAATAATAAATTTTTTATAATAAAGTATTATTATCATTATTATTTTTTTTTTTTCTATCTATGTATTTTTAATGATTCGATGCAATGTTAGTAAACCTGGACCGATTATTAACTTGCTCAAGGTATTGAGCTAATGAATTATTGATTCAACCAGTAGATTACTAGTTGGTAAAATTAAATTTAGAGAAAAGTATTTTTGGTCCTTAACAAATATTACGGGGGCCATTTTAACCCTGAGAAAAAAAAGTTGACATATAGTTGCTATGAAATTTAAAATAGACTTAGTTAGTCGACATTATGCTCCATTTGAAATTCAAAATAGATTCATGCTAGTCGCTGAGCCTATTTTGAATTTCAGAGGATCATAAGTTGACTTTTTTTTCTTACTAATTAAATTGGGCCCATAATATTTGGTGAGGACATAAAATGTACTTTGTTCTTAAATTTATATAAAAAGTATTTAATTAACAAGTGTGATCCAATAAATTATAACTATTAGATTGATGAAAATTAAGGATTAAAATTTGATTGAAAGAATTTTTAAACAATTTAATTTGTAAATATAATCCTCCTCCAATTAACATTATACGTTATAAGATACATTGAGTTAGTGGCAAAGCTCCGTGTTTAAATTCAAGATATTTAAATTTTACAGAATATCCATATTTCATTCAACAATTATAAGTAGGGGTGTCAATATGGGTTTTGACACGCGGGTCGACCCGCGACACGACACGAAAATTCGTGTTCGGGTTGACCCGTAAAAAAATTCGTGTCGTGTTCGTGTTGGAAAAAATGACACGCAAAAAATTCGTGTCGTGTTCGTGTTTATGAATTCGTGTTCGTGTCGACCCGTATTATTTTTAATTATTATTTTATTATTATTATTATTATTTATTTTTTTATTTATTTTCGATATATTTTTTTTAATTTTTTTTGTCAATTACCGTTTTGTCCCCTATTTTGCGTGTTATTCGTGTCGTGTCAACCCGCAAAAAATTCGTGTCGTGTCAGTGTCGAAGATTTTGACACGAATGAAAATTCGTGTCGTGTTCGTGTTGATGTATTCGTGTCGTGTCAAATTCGTGTCGTGTCAACCCATATTGACACCCCTAATTATAAGTCGTATATATTTTTTCAACGTTATAATCTTGTTTTTTGGTATTATTTCAACGTTATAATTTAAAAGTAATAGGTGGTTCGTTGATTTCGTTCTATTGACTTTTTCAAATTCTAGAAGTGATGTCAGACGTGAATAACTGAATGCGACTCATTTAAGGTGTGCATGACAACCATTCTATTCCTTAGTACTGTTTCTGAAAAGAAATAATTCTTTTCTATTTCTGTGCCATGAAACTGTTTCTGAGAAAAAAAATATGTTTGATAACATGTTCTATTTTTATTCCGAGAATGAGAATTGTGTTTGATAACACAACAAATAATATAATAAAAAATAATTCCTATTAAATATAATAAAATTCTGGATCATCACTTTTCTTTCCACATGGTGTGGTTGTGATGGTGGCGGCGGCGGCGGTACGTGTAACACCTCGTGTATACCCGGTTTGTTAACATGTCATCGTATTAACCCACGCTTAATTAAATAAATGCGGAATATCTTTTTCTTTCCAATTATGACGTCATTATACTTAACCAAGTTGATTACTTAAACATTATCATAAAAACATCACCTGTATGTAAATTGCAAAAGATAGCTAACTAAAATACCTCATACATAATTAAGTGAGTATCTAAGTCACGGATCTACAACACGTAGTTCGGACAATATCCTAATTACATTAATACATCCCGAAACTAAAATAAGACATAGCCAATCAATGTGGCATGGACAATCCCCATGCTCACCAAATAAGGCAACATAACAACAGAGTCTCAACAAGGTAATCCATAAACTGAAGCTTAAAAACATGAAGCAATAAGCATAATCCAGCATCCAAGCATAAACAGCAAATCAGCATAGGCAGCATAAACAAGTATCAACTAAGCTCTGGCCTCCTGTCACTAGAGGTATCAACTCCCTGGTTACCTGAACCTGAAATAAGCGTCCCCAAATGTGGGGTGAGATCTCTAAACAAGAAATCTCAGTAAGACAAGGGGTACTCAAGGATCTTCCACCCCAAGCTCACTTACATGTGCAATATAAGTTCAAAAGCATTTATCGGTATAAGTTCCAAAACTATGCAGTGCAACAAATATTCATGCCATGTGTGTTTTAACTATTCTGCTGGCCAGAGAAATGCAGGACGTACGTCTACAACCCCACAATAAGTACAAGGAACAACGCTTGCACCTCACCCACAACCTCACCATCTTGTATATTCCCACATACTCAGGTTTACCGTATAGGTGGAATACCACATGCATATCATAAAGGCACTCGCATATAACAGCTCAATAGCATTTATCAAAACAATACATGAAAATAACATCATGCATAAAACCATCCCCCCATGGGACATGGTGGAATCAACAATGGCTAAACCGAGGACACGAAAGCTTACCTTGCAAGCTAACAATCCAAGCCAAGAGTTCACACTAGCTCAAAGCCCACAAACAGCACAATCACAATCTGTTTATACAGTAATAATCATCAATAACCATTCACCAAGGTTACATTAAGTGATTAAGGCTTTTCCTCTCATTTTAAGTCATTACATGTTGTTTATGCAAGAGGTATTCGAGTACTCCCCGAGTAGTATTCGAATACTCCAACTCTCCAGAAAGTATTCGATTACTTTCACTAAAGTATTCGAACACCACAAAGTATTCGAATACCAACACCCCAAGTATCTGAATACCACAGTATCCGAATACCAAAACTCATTGTATTCGAATACTTTCCAGTATTCGAATACTTCTTCAAAGGTATTCGAATACTTTTCTTCCTAGAAAAATATCCCAATACTCCTCCAAGGAGTATTCGACTACCAAGGGATAAGTTTTCGAATACTACACGATAAGTATTCGAATACTTATCAGACAGAATGCAGAAACTCGAGCATTCTTCTGCATAATCCCATTTTTAAGGGTCAAAGCGATTGAGAGTCCAATGACTCCCTAAACAGATGTTCAATAACATGTTATGAACCCTGAAACACATTTCTTTGCTCAAATGATTAAAGCTTCTCTTTTTAATGGATTAAACAAGTTAAAAACCTCAAAATGACAAAGAGGTGATCATATCTACCTCCAAGACTTCAAAACTCCGAAAATGAAACAGAAAGGAAGCCTCCAACACCCCACCAAGGTTCTGACTTCACAAGACTACGAAAATACACTTCAAGCTTGACCCTTTATGCCAAAAGGTCACTTCTTGGCACCACCAAAGGCAAGAACAAGGCTCTCACCAAGAGAACCCACCAACACAGCCCTCAAAAACCCCCACAAGTCAGAAACCAAACTCAGAAACAAGGCGCCCTCACCTCCCCACCATGTACTACTAAGTGTTTACAAGGTTAAGTGTGAAGAAACCTAAGGAAAAAGGTGAGTTCTTGGCCCTCAAACAAGCACAAGGGTCCAAGCTTCAAGGGAAGGGGCAATGGCTGAAGAGAATCAGCACTCAAGACACTCACGTAGCAGCCAAATTATGGCCTAAGGTTTTGTGCCTTTTAGCTTAAATATGTCCACTTAAAATAACACACAGTATTAACATTAATAGCTACGCTTAGGATTTTAAATCTCAAACTTTAGATTCTGAACCTAGCCATTTTTCTAAGATTTATCATATTTTTATTTTATTTTTCGCAGCACCTTTCCGGTACGCGCTTTTACATAGCCAGTATCAGTTATGGCACCGGTTCTCATTATTTTAACCTGAAACTCGAAATCACAGTCCTACATATTATTCTAGGAATATTCATGCATTTATTATAATTTTCCGGGATACTTCATCGTTACGCATTTATATCGAGTAGCAGAACCGATATATGCATTTTTCGTCAGAAAAGCGATTTTCAATCAATTACCATAATTATTTAAGCCTCATAACAATTATTAGGGTCAATTATAGAATTATTTCCTAATTCTCATATTTAATTAATTAGTTTCCTTATTTAACGGTGCAGGTTCTTACAGTACGATAGTGGTGGTGGTTGTGACGGCAGTGGATGCGACGATGACGGTGGTAATGAAGGCGGCGCGACGGTAGTGGTGGGGATGGTGGTGGTGGAGGTGACGACTGTGGTTGCGACAATAGTGATGGGTGGTGGTTGGTGGCAGCAACAATGGTAGCAGTGACATGGTGGTGGTGGTTGTGAATAGGGGTGAAAGTGGGCTGGGCTGGGCCAAGCTTTGCACCGAAAAGCCCAAGTCTACGTTAAAAATTTTCAATTTAGCCTGGCCCAAGCCTAGTATGAGTCTAACTGTTAGCCTGGTTTGGCCCGTTTATAAAAAACAAATGGCCTGGCTTGGCCCGTTAGCCTGTTAATTTTTAAGTTCCAAGCAGAACCATGAATCAACTTTACAAAGTACTCAAATTCAGTTGCTACACCAAAAATCATAATTTCAACGTCCAAACAGAATCATGAATCATAACAAAACTCATACAATATGCACTTAAGTCATTTTCGAAAGCAAAATGTTAACATATATTTCATCAAATCCAATAAACAAATCCATACTATGTAAATTAAAATAACTACATGAATCCAACAAACAAATCATGATGCTTGTAGTAAGTATAACTCTCCCAAAAATCTTTTAATATATTCATATATACAATCTAACATGTTGAGATGTTGGTTCCACCTATATAAGAAATAAAATAAGATTTCTATTAAAATATAATTGAATATAATTAAGTTATAAATAATTGCAATTGATTAAATTTATATCTTTTGTTTTTTCTTCAAGACATACTTACTCTATTTTATTTTATTTAAAATAAATAGTACAATATAGGCTGGCCTGCGGGCTTATAGGCCCGACCTTTTAAAAGTAGGCTTACGGCCTTTTTATTAAACAAGCTTTTTTAAGGCACAAGCCCGACCTATTATACAAAATATACTAGGTCAGATCTGGCCTGATGTAGGCCGAGCCGTAGGCCCCTGTAGGCCGGCCCAGCCCAGTTTCACCCCTAGTTGTGAAGGCATCATGGTGGTGGTGGCAGTGGTGGCAATGGCGTGATGATGGTAGTGGCGGGGGTGAAGTAATTATGTGGATGGCAGTGACGGTGGTGACGGTAATGGCTGTGACGATGGTAGTGGTGGTTGATGGCGGCAGCAGCGACGACGATGGTGGTGACAGTAGTGGTTGCGACAATAATAGTGGTGGTTGGTGACGTGGTGGTGATGGTAGTGGTGACGTCATGGTGGTGGTAGTGATGGCGATAGGGGTGGTGGCAGTGGCGTGTGGTGACGATGGTGGCGGTGACGGCAGTGGTTACGATGATGGTGGTGGTGGTTAATGGTGGTGGTGTCGGTGATAGTGGTGGTGGTCGTGACGACGACGGTAGTTGTGGTGGTGGTGATGGTGGTAGTTGTGGTGGTGATAGGTGGAGGTGGTGGTGGCATCGTGGTGGTGACGGATGGTGACGATGACACTAGTGGTACGACGGTGGATAGTGATCACGAGAGATAAGTGTTTTTCATTTTGTGCCTAGAAACAAAAAAAAACAGAATTTTTTTGATTCTTTTTTCTGTTCTACAGCATAAAAATTAAACCGGTTCATCCTGTGAACAAAAAAATAAATCGATTTTACCAAACGAGTTTCCTATCCATTTCTATTTTCAAGAACAGAAATTAAAAAAACATTAATTCCAAAAAAGTTGTCGTACAGAGACTTACCTTTACGTTTATTGAGTCTTACACGTAACACCGAACTCCTCGAATCATGAATAGTACAAATCACCGGTCTATGGTCAAGGACTGCGCCAATGTTGCTTTGCTTTGAATATAAAATTCACAAACCACCTCATACTTTGGTCAAGGACTGCGCCAATGTTCACTGCCATGTATTATTATTACGCTACATTGTATCGATATTCTTAAAAATCTCAAATATTATGTTTGATGTTTTTTTGATATTTTTACACATTCTGATATTTATAATATTTGAAATGTTATTATATATCATGAAACAAAAAGAAATTATATTTATTATTGAAAATTTTTATAACTATTATTATTAAATTAATTACAGTTAATTTCTGCTAATTTAACGATTATAATTTATTAAGTACACTTATTAGTTAATTATTAATTTTTAATAAATTATAACACTTAAATTAACGAAAATTAACGAAAATCAACAGTGATTAATTTAGTTGTAAGAATTGTAAAAGTTTTCAGTAATACGTATAACCACCTCCCAAGAAAAAATTAATTGATGTTTTACTAAACTGATATAATAAAAATTAAAAAAAAGATACTGAATAAGTCTCTCTAGAATCTATAAGAGAATTTTAATTTGAAAATATAATAGTAAATATTTACAAAATTGATGGTATTATAAATTTAGTTTTTTTTGTTGTTGTTAAATTATTGAATATTAAATATAATATACATTACTTAAATTAAAAATATTTTTTAATATCAAAAACGTGTGTCAAAATCTAATATTTTTTAGAACTAATGTGTCGAAATATTATATCGTGTCTTATTCCGTATCCCGTATCAATGTCGGTACAACATAGTCAACATGTATCAATAAGACAAAAATGCTCAAGATGCACATTAGACTTAGATTTTCAGGTGCGGCAAAGAATTAGTCATATATAAAATGACTATCATATATAGTAATATTGTATTAGATTTTGTCTTTTGATTCAAAGTTCAAATGTTATCCGCATAAATTTTGTTTAGGCCATTTTAAATAAGTGGTTCAACAATTCAAAAATAATACGTAAATAAAAAATGTGTAAATCTAAAAAAAGAAAAAGAAGAAAGAAATATTAAACCACATATGTATTATTGTTCAAGTAAAAATCGCAAGGAAAGATCTAAAAAGAAATCCCAATCACATCTTAGCATAAACAAAAAGAAATTTATTTGTAATTTTAAAGATATAGTATAGAATAATAATTAACAATTTTTTTGTTGTAATAATTAACAATTTTTAGACTACACGCATACTAAAAATTTCAAAATATTAATGCTGTAATTAGTTGCAGGGGAAGGCATCATGCCCTTCTTTCATTTTTTATTAGAATTGCTGAACAACATGTGCTCTATCTCTTCGTTTTTTTATGTAATTAATTGTTGTTCCAATCATTGAGTTTCATACCATGATTTGGATTCTTATTTCTTTGAATAACTTAGGTTCTTAATCCTTTTTTTTTCATTACAATATATTTTTTAAGTTTTTAACTATTTGTATAATTGACTTCACCATTTCGTACGATATTCAACATTAATTTGAAATTGGTTGAGACCAAAAAAATTAGAAGAGGATTGATATATCAATTAAATTCTTTTTTAACATTCTTGAAGTTATCAACAATGTTAGATGTTGTGGAATGTGGCGTGATCTAATTTACAAAAAATAAAATATTAAAAAATTGAAAAATAAATATGAATAATTTTGCATAGACTCAACATTGTAATAATGATAAAAAATTTTGGTAGATATAATTGTTAGAATTATAGTGTAATTAGGGTTTCTTTATTTTATTAGGCTTTTTGTATTAGGTCTAATTATATTAGGTTTGGGCTTAGCCCATTAGTTTGTCTATATATTGTACATCTCTCACCAGATTAATACACACAGATTTTTTCAATTTTCCTCTCTTTTCTTGTTATTTAACATGGTATCAGAGCAGTTTCTTCAAGAATATCCAGAGCATATTTCCTCTGAGATATCACAACACCAGTTTAAGACTGGGCCACCTCGATTCCCAAGAAGTATCGAAGTTTCCCAAGATCCTTAGTCGGAAAATGACGACATAAATGTTGTTTCAATCGAGTGATCTCATGCCGATCACTGCCTGTGATGACAGTATCATCCACATATACCACCAAATAAATAGATCCAGAAGCAGAATGACGATAAAAGAGAGAATGATCAGCTGCACTCCGAGTCATGTCAAATTGTTGAACAACACTGCTAAATTTACCAAACCAAGCTGTTGGAGATTGTTTGAGGCCATAGAGAGACTTACGAAGACGACAAACAAGACCTGACTCCCCCTGAGCAACCAATCCAGGAGGTTGCTCCATATAAATTTCTTCCTCAAGATCACCATGAAGAAAAGCATTCTTGATATCCAGTTGGTAGAGAGGCCAATGACGAATAGCAGCCATGGCAATAAAAAAGCGAACAGTAAACAATTTCGCCATAGGAGAAAAAGTATCAATAAAATCCAAGCCAAAGACTTGAGTGAAACCCTTTGCCACCAAGCGAGCCTTAAGACGATCCACTTGACCATCAGGTCCAACCTTAACAGCATAAATCCATCTGCAACCAACTACAGATTTGCCAGAAGGAAGAGGCACCAGATCCCATGTGCCATTATGATGAAGAGCACTCATTTCATCAATCATAGCTTGTCTTCATCCCGAATGTGAAAGTGCATCACTTGTAGTCTTAGGAACAGATACAGAGGACAAAGAGGAAAGACAAGCAAAGTATGATGAAGAAAGACGATGATAACTAATATTGACTGTATACCTGGCCGGAGGGCGAGTATCACGAGTACCCTTACGAAGAGCAATGGGAAGGTCACTATTTGAAGGTGGGACCGACGTCGTGGTGGGAGATGCAGTTGAATGTGAGTCCACAGAGACATTTGACGAACTATGCTCGATCTCATCAACAGAAGAGGTGATAGAAGGATAGTCAGAAACATGGACAGGTAAAGACGGAAGGTAAAGAAGGTCACCTGGGAAGGACGACTGTACAGAATCAGTATCCACATGGGTAGTAGAGGATCCGAAAAAGGGAACTGATTCAAAAAAAGAGATATCCGCCGAGATAAAGTATCGACGTAAAGTGGGAGAGTAGAAACGGTAACCCTTCTGAGACCGAGGATAACCCAGAAAAACATATTTATGAGACTTGGGAGCTAATTTATCCAAACCTGGACCAAGATGATGAACAAAACACGTAGAACCAAACACATACAGAGTTAAAGGATATAAAACCTGATGGGGAAATAAAATAGAGTGAGGTACCTTATGATTGAGAACAAATGATGGCATGCGACTAATGAGATAGCATGCAGTAAGTACAACATCACCCCAGAATGTGTATGGAACATTACCATCAATTAACAAGGCACGAGTGGTTTCAACCAGATGGCGATTCTTGCGCTCGGCTACACTATTTTGTTGAGGTGTATGAGGGCAAGATATTTGATGAAGAATGCCATGAGATGAAAAGAATTGTTGAAATTGATGAGATAAGTACTCACATGCATTATCACTACGAAAAGTACGAAGAGGAATACCAAATTGAGTTTTTATTTCATTATAAAATAACTGAAAAATAGAAAACAACTCAGACCGCTTTTTCATTAAAAATAACCAAGTACATCTGGAATAATCATCAATAAAAGTAACAAAATACTTAAAACGCAGAGTAGAAGAATGACGACTGGGTCCCCAAACATCAGAGTGGACCATAGAAAAAGGAGAAACAGCTTGACGACTAAGACGACTCGGAAACATACTACAAGTATGTTTCTCAAACTGACAAGACTCACAATTTAAAGTAGAAAGAGACGACAAATGAGGAACCATCTTCTGAAGCATTGCAAGACTAGGATGGTCCAGACGAGCATGGATAGTAAGAGGAGAATCCATAGTGGAGCAGGCTGAAGAAGAGGGAACTAGTTGATAGAGGCCCTGAGACTCACATCCCTTGGTAATCTCCTTCCCCGAACTCCGATCCTGAAAATGACAGAGGTTTTAGTAAAAGAAACAACACAGTTAATGGATTTGGTCAAACGACTAACAGAAAGTAAGTTAAAAGGGGAATCGGGCACATATAGAACATGATCCAGAGATAAATTGGTTAAAAGAAAAACCGTGCCAATTCCCTTTGATTGGACCAGAGACCCATTGGCCATAGTAATAGTGGGAAAAGAACCAGTAGTACAAAGGGAAGTGAATAAGGACTTATTACCAGAAATGTGATCAGAAGCCCCAGAATCAAGAGTCCAAGGGCCTATAGAGTGCAACTGAGAAATGCCAGCAAAAGAATTACCAGAGGGAGCAATGGATGCAGTAGGACCTGATGTTTGCTTTTCAGACCACCAAATCACAAATTCATTCAGAAGAGCAGCTGGAGGTTGTGCACTGGAAGGTAACTCTGGAGCACAGGTACTAGAGAAAGCCTGAGCAATATGAGCATTCCGAGAAGGTGGAGGTGGCCTGCCATGAAGCTTCCAACAGCGGTCAACAGTATGATTGGTCTGATGACAATGAGTGCATAATAGCTTTCCTTTAGAGAATCGACGTCCACGACCATACCCTTGAACAACAAAAGCTGAAGGGTCAACAGAATCTTCTCGACGTCCGTGACCATATCCTTGATCAGCAAAAGCGGAAGAGTCAACAGAATCCGCTGGGGGTATATGCATCATAGGAGGTGCTGATGACGGAGAAGGCTTAGAGTGAATTCGAAGCAAGGTAGACATCACAGAATCCAGTGTAGGAACTGTAGCAGATCCCACAATTTGATATCGATTGGCAGACAAATGATCAGGCAAACCATATAAAATGAACAACATAAACAGTGTATTACGCTGTTCCTGTTCCTTATTAACATCACCATTGAGAGGTAGAAGCTCATTAAGATCATGAAGTAGACTCTGAACTTTCCCCAAATATCTAGCCATAGGACAATTGAAGTCCCGAGGAGCATATGTAGTCATCAATTTTTGACATACACCATAGAGTCTCTGGGTATCACTGGTGTAAAGTGCCTTTGCCTGACTCCAAATGCAAGTAACAGCAGGTCGAAAAATCTGCTTAATAAACGGATGAAGAGTAGCTTTAATGAGGCTATACAGCTGAGCATCAATCATTTTCCACCGTGTGCGCTCCTTTTCCGCCGCAGATTCAGCCTTAGTGGTGAGATGAGATGTATAATTCTGCCCATCCAACCAAAGTCGCAGATCGAAAGACCAAGTATCGTAGTTGGAACCATCCAATTTATCCACACTCAATAGAGCAAGGATATAATTTGAAAAAATAGCAGAGTCTGACTTTTTCTCAGCCGGAGTACCAGAGTCATTGGAGACAGGAGGGTCCATAATTAAGAGAAAAAATAATCAAAAAAGGACAGATCACACAACTAACCGGTATAAGAGGGATTTGACGTCAACACAAAACGAAGTCCAAACACAGAACCAGGACCAGATCCAGAACCGTCACAGGGAGACGAGGAGAACGCCACCAGCTGCGGCCGGAGAGGAGGTCCCACGCGCCGCCTTGGGGAGAGGATGACCAGAGCTTGCACGCGCGCGTGTGGGCGCGTGAGGGCTCCGATGGAGGTGCAGCCGGTGCGGTTGGGATCGCGCTTCCAAGACGAGCACGCTGGTATGTGGTTTGCCGAAAAACTCCACCGGACGGTGGTGGTTGACGAAGACAGCACCCTGAACGTGAAAGCGGAAGAAAAAGCGTACCGGAAACTGACAGCGAGACAGTTCCGAAAAAAAAAATTAAAATTTAAAAGATGATGAACAGTAAGTTCACCGGAATTTTTTTTTTCAAAGTTCCTTAGGCTCTTAGTACTGATTGGGCTGGTTGTCCAGCTGATAGGAGATCTACTTCTGGGTATTGTGTCTTTGTTGGAGGCAACTTGATTTCCTGGAAAAGTAAGAAACAAAGTGTGGTTGCCAGATCAAGTGCTGAAGCAGAATACCGCTCCATGGCGACTACTACTTGCGAGCTCATCTGGCTTAAACAGCTTCTCAAAGAGCTTAAGTTTGGAGACACTGGACAGACGACTCTCATTTGTGATAATCAAGCAGCTCTACACATTTCATCAAATCCAGTGTTTCATGAAAAAACCAAGCATATAGAAATAGATTGTCACTTTGTTCGAGAAAAGGTTCTTGTTGGTGAAATTAAAACTAGTTTTGTACCCTCTAATGAGCAATTAGCAAATGCGTTTAAAAAATCTTTGAGGGGGCCTCGAATAGAGTTTATATGTAACAATCTTGGTGCATATGACCTATACGCTCCAGCTTGAGGGGGAGTGTTATAATTATATTGTAATTAGGGTTTCTTTATTTCATTAGGCTTTTTGTATTAGGTCTAATTATATTAGGTTTGGGCTTAGCCTATTAGTTTGTCTATATATTGTACATCTCTCACCAGATTAATACACACAGATTATTTCAATGTTCCTCTCTTTTCTTGTTATTTAACAATAATAATGATAAATTTAAAATTTTCTTTGCTCCCTCAATTTTTGAAAATATATTCTTATTTGTGAAACTCATTTTATAAATGTATCTATTTTCGCAAATAATTTATTTTTTCATTCTCTTTTTTTTTTGTATATTTTTTTTTTCATTCTCTTGTCTTTTAAAAAATGTTCATGTTGTAAAAAAAAATTATTAAAAAATATAATTTTCTATTCTCCAGTTTTCATGCATAAAATGTTGAAGGCTTATATTTTATTCATAAAATAATGGGTATTTAACTACCATTCTATCTCATGTTGTTTGTGTACTTTGATAAAATGCTAACATGGGATATTAAAAATAAATAATAATTTTTTTGTTTTAAATTAAATAAATAACTAATTTAATGATTAACACTAGATTAAATTGATAATTTTTTTGCCTTCTTTTACCCGTTACCAACTTTCTAACTTACCTTTAATACGAAAGTCACACACCATACATGCCTGTTGCCGAAAGCCCGAAAGTCTTTCCCCAAGTCAAGGGGCAAAATAACTCACCCCTTCAACGTCATAAGTCATAACTCATTAGTAGTCGTTAATTTGTTCAGTTGACCTTTTCAACTTCGAAGCTAATAAAAAAAAAAAAGCAGAAAGTATGTGTCCTATTAAAAGTCACATATTTATATGGGTAATTGTAGTCTTATGTCACATAAAAATTTTGTTATCTCCTACACACTCAATTTAAAGTGGGACTCAATAGAAAAAAAATGAAAAAAAATAAAAAATAAATGGCACAAGTATCGATGTATGGACATAAGATAATTTTTTTTTCCTATTGCATAAGAGTAATATTGCCCTATTTATATTCTTTTAAGAGAGATAAAGAAATAAATTATGAAAAAGTGATAATGGCGAGAAAAATTTGTAATTTAAAATTTAAAATTTAAAAAAATACACTATATTTGCCTAAAAGAATCGTCCTTTTAAATGACACAAACTAAATTCATAAAAAAGTAGCATTGATATACTTTTACCCACTTCTTTAGTCTAATATTAGGTGGTGTTTGATTGAGGAGTTTGCCATTGTTTCCCATCAAAGTGATTCTTAGATACTTGGTTGTCCAAGTTTGGTTCACTGATTTCATGTTTGTTACCCATCAATGTCACTTCCCTAGGCAAACTGGTTTGTGTGTTAAAAAGCATGAATTTCACTGTTGAAGAAAGCAATTGAGAAGGTGGTATTCGGGAAAAAATCTGAGAAGTTATTAAAGCATAATAATACAATGACACAATTACCCATCACATAATATACTATGTACACACAATGGAAACTCACTTTTAAAAATAGTAAAAGAAAAAAAGGGTACTTTAGTATTTTCAAACAATTTTTCCATCAATATTCTATCTTCAACCAAACATACACTCAAAAAATTTAACCCAATTTTCCCGGTAAACTTTTGGCGAACCAAACAACTTTTTTTACACTTTCCTACCAAAATCACTTTCCTACTCATTCTATTTCCCCAGTAAAAAAAAAATTTCTCCTGAACCAAACACCCCCTTAAGGTTGACAATTTGGATTGACATAGATATGAATACGAATACACTTAACATGAACATACACAAATTTAAAATTGGATTAAGACTTTTCACACTAACATAATTCATTTATTTTGCGGCTTGACATAATACAACATGACATAAATAATCCGTAATCTCAAAATATATTATTTATTATGTGAATTGACATGAGTCAATCTCAAAGTATATTGCTTACTATGCAGATTGACACGACACGATATGACATAAATAATTTTAAAAAAAGATTAAAGTGAGTTAATTTTGAATTTATGAATTGACATGCGACACAATACAGATTTTTGAGACATTGACCATATTGCCACTCCTTTAATAAAAATTTACCTGATTGCCACAAATTTTGCCAAAATGTCACGCCTGAATCCCGCTGGTCTGACAAGCGGGAATGGACTGGACACGTGTCAGCGTCTGAATGGTCGACCATTCTCTGCATGTCTGTACTTTTGCCACGTGTCAGCATTCTGTCATTCTAGCTGGGCAGCCCAGCGAGAATGGTTGACCATTCAGACGCTGACACGTGTCCAGTCCATTCCTGCTTGTTAGACCAGCGGGATTCAGGCGTGGCATTTTGACAATTTTTTTTTCAGAAATGGCAATCAGGTAAAATTTTGCCTAAAAAGTGGCAATATGTTCATTGTCCCCAGATTTTTTGTGTTAATTTTTGCCAACACAAACACCATACAATACCAATTTGAAAACCAATTGATCCCAACACTAGCTGTCTATGTTACTTTGCTTTGACCGTAAAGTTCACACTAAATTTCGTCTTTGTACCTCACATTCCGTTGCTGATTACTGCCCTGTCTTTATTATTAATTATTTGCTCAAAATTTCTTTTTCACGCGGTTGAATTAAGTGAGCACTTGATTTATCGAGAACTTTTCATTCAATGTGATAAACCACCCAATACTTTTTATTATGGAGGCTGCCATGCATCACATAAGACAACAAACTATGTGAGGAAGAATTAGTCTGCTCATGCATCACGTTAGTCTTTATGGTGTCGGCAAGAATTGGTCAGCGACGGGAAGATCACGCTTCTAAAATATTTCCATGATCTTAACGTCTATATATAAATACCAACTCTTCAAGATGTATTTCCCATCCTCAAACTTGCTAAGGACAAAATTGATAATAAGTGATTTCGTTCTATTGACTTTTTCAAATTCTAGAAGTGAATAACAGAATGCGACTCATTTAGCTTTAACGGAAAAAATGTTTATCCTTTTAATTGACATAATTTATATCATTTTATTTTCACAAGGGGATAGGATGCACACTTTTATTTTTTGTGTCAACTCTCTTTCTTAAAATGATACAACTTTACATCCTTTAAAATGATACACACTTTTTCCTACATTTATTTATTTACACGTAACACCGAACTCCTTGAATCATGAAAAGTACAAATCACCGGTCTATGGTCAAGGACTGCGCCAATGTTGCTTTGACTATAAAATTCACAAACCACCTCATACTTTGGAAAAAATTTAACATGCTCCAGGCTCATCATTTATTCCGTAGTCTTTTTTTTATAAATGAATATTTTTTTTTTATTTTTACCTTTTTCTTTTTGATTTTATTTTCCTCCGTCTTTTTTTTTTCTATTTTTAGGAGGGACCACCATGGTCCCGTCCCAAGAAAAATTTCTCCATACTTTGGTCAAGGACTGCGCCAATGTTCACTGCCATGTATTATATTACGCTACATTCTACTGATATTTTAAAAAATCTCAAATATTATGTTTGATATTTTTTGATATATTCTGACATTGGAATTTTTTTTTTTTTTGGTGAAAAACATTGGAATTTTATTATAGGGATACCAACTTCTCCTGTTAGTGAGAAGTTATTTTTTGCAACTGACACAATAATTAGGAGAGAGAAGGAAAAGAAGTGAGAGAAAAAAAATAAAAAAAATTGAAGTGTACTCTGCCGTTTGGATGAGTTTTTATTTTTCTACGAGAGCTGTTTTTATAAAGGAAAAAAGAACTTTTCAAAAAAAGTCTATTTGTCCCCAGTATCACCTTTAGAAGGGGTTTAAAGCCTCAATCCTGGACCCGCCCCGAATCGGACAAGTTGCGAAGCGATGAACCAATTGGAGTATTTTCAAAAAAAAGAGAGTCTATTTGAATGACTGCTTTAAAAAAAAGCAGAAGTCGTAAAAAAAGTCAAAAATCTGTTTTTTTCAGAAGCTAAAAATTTTAGCTTCTCAAAAATGCAGAAGTCAAAAGCCAATTTTTTTTTTCAAAAATTAAATATTTTTTAAAAATCTAAGTAGCTTTAATTTTTATAGAAAGTGCTTTTAAATAAGGAAGTCGTAAAAAAAACTTTTTTGACAAGTAAATCCAGATGAGCTCTTTATGTATCTATCGCTTGAGAAGGCTATTCTCCTTTAAAAGGAGAAGCACAAACCTCTTTATTATATATCATAAAAAAGGGAAAATTATATTTATTATTGAAAAGTTTTATAACACTTACTACTAAATTAATTATCGTTGATTTCTACCAATCAAACGATTATAATTTATTGAGTACACTTATTAGTTAATTGTTAATTTTTAATATATTATAACAATTAAATTGACGAAAATCAACAGTGATTAGTTTAGTTGTAAGAGTTGTAAAATTTTTCAGTAATACATATAACCACCTCCCCATGAAAAAATTGATTGATGTTTTACTAAACTGATATAATAAAAATTAAAAAAAGATACCGAATAAGTCTCTCTAGAATATATAAGAGATTTTTAATTTGAAAATATAATAGTAAATATTTACGTCTTATGTTTCTTTACAAAATTGATGGTATTATAAATTTAGTTTTTTTGTTATTGTTGTTAAATTATTGAATATTAAATACAATATACATATGTTATAAAAAAATAAAAAAATAATAATATACATTACCCAAATTAAAAATATTATTTAATATCAAAACGTGTGTCAAAATCTAACATTTTTTAAAATTAATGTGGCGAAATATCATATCGTGTCTTATTCCGTATCCTGTATCAACGTAGGTACAATATAGTTAACATGTATCAGTAAGACAAAAATGCTCAAGATGCACATTAGACTTAGATTTTCAGGTGCGGCAAAGAATTAGTCATATATAAAATGACTATCATATATAGTAATATTGTATTAAATTTTGTCTTTTGATTCAAAGTTCAAATGTTATCCGCATAAATTTTGTTTAGGCCATTTTAAATAAGTGGTTCAACAATTCAAAAATAATAGGTAAATAAAAAATGTGTAAATCTAAAAAAGGAAAAAGAAGAAAGAAATACTAAACCACATATGTATTATTATTCAAGTAAAAATCGCAAGGAAAGATCTAAAAAGAAATCCCAATCACATCTTAGCATAAATAAAAAGAAATTTATTTGTAATTTTAAAGATATAGTATAGAATAATATTTAACAATTTTTAGACTACACGCATACTAAAAATTTCAAAATATTAATGCTGTAATTAGTTGCAGGGGAAGGCATCATGCCCTTCTTTCATTTTTTATTAGAATTGCTGAACAGCATGTGCTCTATCTCTTCGTTTTTTTATGTAATTAATTGTTGTTCCAATCATTGAGTTTCATACCATGATTTGGATTCTTATTTCTTTGAATAACTTAGGTTCTTAATCCTTTTTTTTTCATTACAATATATTTTTTAAGTTTTTAACTATTTGTATAATTGACTTCACCATTTCGTACGATATTCAACATTAATTTGAAATTGGTTGAGACCAAAAAAATTAGAAGAGGATTGATATATCAATTAAATTCCTTTTTAACATTCTTGAAGTTATCAACAATATTAGATGTTGTGGAATGTGGCGTGATCTAATTTACAAAAAATAAAATATTAAAAAAGTGAAAAATAAATATGAATAATTTTG